TTCGGTCCAAATCGTCTGCACCAACCAGATAACCTAAACTGATCTATTCCCATTTGCCAGCATTTGGCATATATCCCTCTAAACTCTTCCTATTCATGTACCCATCCACATGCCTTTTAAATGGTGTAATTGTACCCGCCTCCACCATCTCCTCTGGCAGCTCAAGTTTCCCAAACTAAACTAGTCCCACTTGCTTGCATTTGGCCTACATCCCTCTAAACCTTTCCTATTCATGTACCTGTCCAAATGTCTTTTAAATGTTATAACTGTATCAACATCTTCCACTTCCTCTGGCAGTTCATTCCACATTTGAAACATGCTGTGAAAAAGCTGCCCCTCAAGTCTCTTTTAAATCTTTTGCCTCTCACCTTAAAAAATATGCCATCTAGTTTTAAATTCCCCTACCCTAAGGAAAAGGCCTTTTGTTATTCACCTTATCTATGTCCCTCATGATTTTATAAACCTCTATAAGGTTACCCTCAACCTCCTACGATCCAGTGAAAAAAGTCCCAGCCTATTCAGCTTCTCCTTATAACTCAAACCCTCCAGTCCCAGCAACATCCTTGTAAATATTTTTCTGAACCCCTCCAATTTAATAATATTTTTCCAGCATCAGGGCAACTAGAACTGTACACAGTACTCCAAAAGTGGCCTCACCAATGCCCTCAGCCCATATAATCTCAACATGATATCACAACTCCTATACTCAAATCTGAGCAATGAAGGCAAGCATGTTAAACACCTTCTTAATCACCCTGTCTACCTGTGATGCCACTTTCAAAGGACTATGTACCTGCACCCCTCTATTTGACAACATTACCCAGAGTCCTACCATTACCTGTGTAAGTCCTACCCTTGTCCATCTTACCAAAATACAATACCTTACATTTGTCCAAATTAAACTCCATCTGCCACTCTTCAGCCCATTGGCCCAATTGATCAAGATCCCTTCTTAATCTTAGATAACCTTCTTCACTGTCCACTATACCACCAATTTTGGTGTCATCTGGAAAATTAATAAACTTGCCCCCTAAATTTTCATCCAAATTGTTTATACAAATAACAAACAACAGTGGACCCAGCACTGATCTCTGTGGAACACCGCTGGTCACAGGTGTGCAGTCTAAAAAACAACCCTCCACCACCACCCTGTCTCCTACCATGAAGCCAATTTTGTATTCAATTGGTAAGTTCTCTCTGAATTCCATATGATCTAACTTTACTAATCAGTCTACCATGCAAAACCTTGTCAAAGGCTTCATTAAAGTCCATGCCCTTAACACTACAGCAGACCCAGTCTACGTTTGGAAAGTTAAAATTTCCTACTATTACAACCCTACTGTTATTCTTAGACATATCTGAAATCTCTTTATATATTTGCTGTTTAGTTTCCCTCTTACTATTGGAGGGCAATACACATTGCAGTTGCCCTTCTGCCACCCATACGCCCTCAAATCAGATCAGTCAGATACGTCCCTCCTGTGCACATCCCATAACGAGCACTTGCATCTCTCTGCTTCCTGTCCTTTTAGGATTATACAGCAGAAAACAGTATGTGAAGCAGAAAGCTGGGTGTAGCATTCCAGTGACAGTGCCTTTGTTGAACATTAGCAACACACGCCCACCTGATCCACTGGGAAGGAGGTCTTGTTCCAGAAATGTGTTGATGTCAGCAATGACAGCCTGACCCTACTGAGACACTGTTGCTCAGACATGTTATTGGTGGTATAGTGGACAGTGAAGAAGGTTATTTAAGATTACAAAGGGGTCTTGATCAATTGGACTAATGGGGGGAGGAGTGGCAGATGGAGTTTAATTTGGATAAATGCGAGATGTTGCATTTTGGTAAGATGAACAAGGGCAGGACCTATATAGTTAATGGTAGGGCCCTGCGTAGTGTTGTCGAACAGAGAGACCAGTGGCTTCAGGTACATGGTTCTTTGAAAGTTATGTCACAGATAGACAGGGTGGTTAATAAGGCATTTAGCATGCTTCCCTTCATTGCTCAGACCATTGAATTGGGAGTTGGGACATTATGTTGCAGTTGTACAGGATGTTGGTGAGGCCAATTTTGGAGTACCGTGTACAGTTCTGGTTGCCCTGCTGTAGGAAAACTATTATTAAATTGGAGAGGGTGCAGAAAAGATTTACAAGGATGTTGCTGGGAGTGGAGGGTTTGAATTATAAGGAAAGGCTGGACAGGCTAGGACTTTTTTCACTGGAGGGTAAGAGGGGTGATCTTATTAAAGTTTATACAGTCATGAGGGGCATAGATAAGGTAAATAGCAAAGGTCTCTTCAGGGTAGGGGCGTTCAAAACTGGAGGGCATATTTTTAAGGTGAAAGGAGAAAGATTTAAAAGGGACTTGAGAGGTAACTTTTTCACACAGAGGGTGGTTTGTATGTGGAATGAACTGGCAGAGAAGTAGTAGATGCAGGTACAGTTACAGCATTTAAAAGACATTTAGACAGGTACATGAATAAGAAAGATTTGGAGGGACATGGACCAAACGCAGGCAAATGGGACTAGTTCAGTTTGGGAAACTTGGTCAGCATGGACGAGTTGGACTGAAGCATCTGTTTCTATGCTGTATGATTCCATGTTCAGAGGGATAGAGTCTGTCTGTAGTCTCTCAGTTGGAGGTGTCACCTCCTTCCAACTGGATCCTGTGTCCATCCCATCTGCCGTGTGGAACAGCATATGTTAGCATTGCTGCTGGTGTTGATCTTGTTGCAGTGAGGTAGTAGCCAATGGATGGGTAGATGAATGGACTAAACTTTGGCAGATGAAGTTTAACATGGAAAATTGTAAGGTTATCCATTTTGGTTGGAAGAATAGAAAGGCAACTTATTATCTAAATAGAGAGTAACTTCAGAGTACTTCGGTGCAGGTGTCAGAATCAGAGAAAACTGGTATGTAGGTACAGCAGGTAATAAAGCATCTATTGTTAAAGGAATCAAGTTTAAAAGTAGGTAAATGTTACTGCAATTAATCAAGTCTTTAGTGAGATTGCGTAGGAGTATTGTGTACACTTTTGGTCCCCTTATATGAGACATTGGAGACAGTTCAGATGATGTTTGCTATATTGATGCCAGAGATGAAGGGGTTTGGCTTATGAAAAGAGATTGTGCAGTTTAGGCTGATACTGTCTGGAGCTTAGAAGAATGAGAGAAGACCTCATTGAGGCATTTAAGATGTTAAAGGCAATTGACAAAGTACACAAAGAGGATATTTCCTCATGTGGGTCAATCTAGAATGAGAGGTCATAGTTTTAGGATAAGGGGTAACAGATTTAAAACCAAGATGATAGGAAACTACTCTCAAAGGCTTACAAATCTGTGGATTTCATTACCCAGAAAGTGATGGCCACCAGGACTGAATAAACTCAAGAAGAATATAGATACATTTTTAATTAGTAATGGGTTGAAAGGTTATGGAAAGTGGGCAAGAAAGTGGAGTTGAAGCCAAAATTAGACCAGCCATGATAGTATTAAATGAGAGAGTCTCAAGGGGGCTGAAATGCCTACTCCTGCTCCCAGTTCTTATGTTCAATAGTGTGGCACTGGTGTTTACCCTCTGAAAAGGTAGAGGGAGTAAATGTCTAAGCTCTCCCATGCTAAGCTAAAGATTGGTAGGAGGAAAGTGCAGCTGTAGATGAGGGAACTGAAGGGGAGGCAAAGTACCTTCCAAGAAAGATGGAACAGCACTCTGTCAGTGATTATGAATTGAGCTTTTCAGTGTAACCGATCAGAGCCTATACAGCTTGTCGGTTTCCTGCTGTGCACTAGCCTTGGTGACCCTGGCAAGTTGCTGATGGATCAAGAAACAGATTACAAGATTGAGAAATCCGGAATTCAGCACTAAAGCAGCGCAAAATTGGCTTTTTATCAACTGCAAAACTGCTAAGCTGTTAGTTCCTACTTGGCTACAAGGCTGCCCTGGGAGATTCGGGAGAGGTCAGGATCTCCTTAGTTTTTGGGATTTCAACCTTCCCCACTCAACACCCTCCCAGATCCCCAACCCTCATCTATACATTAATAGAGCAGTGAAACTCCACGCATGAGCTACCCTTGGTGTGGGCGTCCTTGCTACAACATTGTATTAAGGTTTGAGGCATTTAAACACGTAGAACCATGGGCACTTACTGTATTGACTTCGGAACTCTCACTGAGTTAAAATTGGAATTGTTGAATTTATTGAGTTCCTTCTATTGTAGGTTAATTTTCCTTTGATTTGATTGCTCATAGCCATGTGCCTGCCACTGCTGTATGAGGACAGTACATTGCTAATCATCTTAGCTTTACTTGTGGCCATCTTTGTTATTTCTTACTGCTTACTTTTTTTGCTAGCTTCATGGGCTCCAACATTATTGCTCCACCATTCAATGAGATTATGTCTGTCTGATTGCGGCCTCAACCCACTTTCCTGTCTACTCCCACATCCTTTGGGTTCCTTGTTAGCCTCATCTATTCTTCCTTAAATATATTTAATGATCCTGCCCCCACAGCTCCTGAGGAACAGAATTCTCCACAATCAGAGAGAAAAACTCCTCGTTTCCATATTTAAAACAAAGAAATCAAGGAGAAAGATCAGATTCCAAGATACAGGCATTGTCAGGGTTGAAACAATTGGAAGAATTTAATCAAGAATTTGAGTGGTCAACAAGCTTGTAGTTTAAAAACCTTCCTGTCGGTAGAGGCAGAGAAATTAAGGTGGTATCAGGTTTGACAGACAGTAAAGAATGAGTAAGGGAAGAAAATCACCTAACAGATTGCTCTGTGATTGGTTCTGTCCAGTTTGGTGAGTACGTGCAACAAGAAGTGGTGGGACTAGTATTGGCCTGCAGAATGTCGGCCATTTTGGTCAGACTACAAATTGCTTCACCAGGTTGGCTTTTTAGAAGCTTTTGTTGCTGACTCTTAAAAAGAACTAACATGAAATGCTGTACAAATAATTTGGTTGCACAGATGTAATTAATTCCTGTGCTGGGTTTCAACTAGACGCTGTTGATGGCTCATGCCCTGAGGAGAATCTTATATACAACGTGTCAACCGGCGGATTGTCAGTTTGCATTTGTCACACGCAACCCCTACAGACCACCAAGTGAGCTCTTCTGCCATCTGTTTGTCACCACACAGCCGAATGAGGTGGGTCGATAATAATACAAAAAAATCACTGTGAATCAGATGATAAAAATCATCCACTTGTTCAATAGGACTTTTTTGAAAAAAGATAGAATCATGCTTTGTTTTCTGTACTGAAAATCCTCTATTTGTTTTTACTTGGGAAATAATGGCTGGGCAGTAGTTCAGTACAAAAAGCCTACAGATGACTGAGTCTTCCTCTTCCTAATCCAGAGGTCATAAAAGCAATTGAGCTCTCCTCCCATCAATCCCATTACTGCCCTGGCTGAGACCATGAAATGAATTTGGAACCTATTTGTTGTGAACAGTTCCTATGGTCTGACTGCCTGAATAAATGAAGTTGGCTGCTGTGTTTATAACACCCTGCTGTTTTTGTCATAAAATGGAATGCTTTTCTGCTTGGGGAAAGAATAAGAGAACAACAGAACAATTTTGTCTTTATGTGAATGTATGATTGGGTGTCTTGGAGCATGGGGAGCAGAGAGAGGCAGATGTTTCTCATTGTATACAGTTGAGTTGCAGCAGTACAAAGATTTATGGAAATGAAAGCTATTAGTTGAGTGGAGTGACTTGGCGCTTAGATCAGTCTCACTGAGAGAAGTGCACAGGAGCAAGATGTCTCGTTCAGACTGATTAATATAGTAATGCTTAAACTATGATTTCTATTTCTATGATCAGCAGAGTTTGGTTACATTTTATGATAACCAGAATCCTGTGACTCAGTGAGGGAAATTAAACTATTTGATTTATGAAAGCAGTGGGACAATTCAGCATGTTGCTGGATAATGACATTACATACACAGCACTAAACTCTTACTATGTAGAAATTGTTTGCAAGTGTTGTGAATTAGCAATTATTATCCCTGGTGGTGATGTTAAACAGTTAATTTCATGTCCCTTCCTTATAGTACTATTATTCAGTAAAGGCAAAATCAATGAGCAAATACCCCTTTGTAGTTTCAAATTGTATGATAATCCCCAATCCTTTACAAAACCTTTTTCACCAGTTGTCAACTGTTAAGCTTGCATTAGGGAAAATTGCTCTTCATTACTAGGAAGGTACAATCATACAAGCAAGACACCAGAGGACAGCAGTGAGCTCCATTACATCTGCAAATGACCATTTGGAAAAGTGTAAGATGGTTGCAGAGAAGCCTTCAATGATCCCCAGGAAATATCCCAGTTCAAAACCCAGTCCCAGGATAATGGCAGCAGCTTTCTTTCAATTTGTTTTGAGGAGTATTGACGAAGCAATTTTTTTTATGCTTATTGCTAATCATTGTTGTTTTCAGTGCTTTAATAGTCAACCGGGTAGGAGTGGTGGGTTTCCTTCTTTTAGACTATAAATGAAAAGTTGTGCTTACGTGACAATCATACAGCCTTCACGGTTATTTTCCTGCTGCCAGCTTACCAATTTTTAGATATATTGAATTAATTTTGAGAATTTGTTGATAGGGAGATTTGCATCTAGATGTAAATTGGCTCGGAGTTGGAGTCTGTACATTATTGAGGACATTGGCCATTTTAGCACAGTGCACAAAAACATCCCTAAATGTTCTGCCAGGAGACTCCTGTATTTTGGAAGTAGTTCTTCTACTTCACTTTAGTAGGCAAGGCCATAAGTCAGACAACACCAGGTTATAGTCCAACAGATTTATTTGAAATCACAAGCTTTCGCAGCATGCTCCTTCATCAGGTAAAGCTTTGTAGGCAATGCTTTGATTCTTGTGTACATCATTAGAGGTTTCAGTCAACATTCACAATATTTTTGTTTATATCCTAGCATTTTTATAGTCCTTCTGTTCTGATTAGGATATGGTGTTGCTAGTTTGCAACAAGTAATTAAGAAGGCAAATTGAAGTTTGACTTTCATTGCTGGAAGGTTGGACATTAAATATTGGGAAGTAGTGTGTACAGTTTTGGTCCCCATATTAAAGAAAGGATATATTGGCAATGGAGGCAGTTCAAAAGAGATACACTAGGCTGATTATGGGGATGAAGGGGTTGACTTATTGAGAACGGCTAAACAGGTTACGCCTTTATTCATTACAGTTTAGAAGAATGAGGGGTGATCTTATTGAAACATGCAAGACTCTGACGCGGTTTGACAGGGTAGACATTGAGAAGGTGTTTCCACTAGTGGCAGAAACCTTGAACTAAGAGACATAGATACAGAATTAAGGGACACTCATTTAAAACTGAGATGCAAAGAAATCTTTTCTCTCAGGGGGTAATGAATGTCTGGAATTCTCTATCCTAGAGATTTATGGAGGCTAGATTGCTGAAAGTATTTAAAGAGGAAGTTGATAGATTTGAAATATATAGGAGTTGCGGGTTATGAGGTGTAGGCGGGAAACAGGAATTGAGGGCGGGATCAGATCAGCCATGATCTCATAGAATAGCAAGGCAGACTTGAAGGGTAGACTGGCCTACTCCTACTCCTATTTCTAAGTTCTTATGATTTCAGGAAAAAAAGAGCTGCCACTTATGCAGAGATAACACAGTGTGGAGCTGGAGGAACACAGCTGCATCAGGCCAGGCTACATCAGAGGAGCAGGAAAGTTGACGTTTCGGATCAGGTCGGGAAAAAGGGTCCCAACCCGAAATGTCAACTTTCCTGCTCCTCTGTTGCTGCCTGGCCTGCTGTGTTCCTCCAGCTCCACACTATGTTAGCTCTGACTCCAGCATCTGGAGTTCTTACTATCTCTGCCATTTTTGCAGAGCTTTTCACAATCTCAGGAGGTACCAAAATATTTCACAATCAAATAAGTTATTTTTAAATGTGATCATTGATGTATTTGTAGGAAAACATGGCAGCCAAAGTGCACATATCAACAAAGAAACAATTAAGTGATCTCTTGCCCCCTGCCCCGCCCCTCTATCACTAGCATAGAAACAATCATTTTCCAGGCACGAGCTGGAAAGACACTTACCTTACTTACTCCCTCCCTGTTCACCAAAATTACCTTCCCTACATACCATTACTTCCCTTCTCCCTTGCCACATTCAGGATTGACAACCAGTGTATTGTGTTTCTCCTCAGGAGTGTCAGCCTGGAATTTATTCTCAAACTGTTGGAACACAACCAATCAGAAGTGACCATGTGCCACTAACTCGAGGCTGATTTCCACTGCAATTTTGCTTTGAAGGATTTAAACTTCCCAAGCATACAATGGACATTAATAAAATTTCTAGCTGAGTAACCTCTTGTAAGAGATATAGGTCACCCCTTGAAATGTGCAATCTTGTTTTGCATTCTGAAAGGTAAATCTGATTCTTTCTCCCCGTTCCTGTTGTAGTACCAGTGGAGAATATCATAAAACCGACTTGATATATTTTCTGTCTTCTATCACATGAGTTTACACAAAAGATGGCAAACTATTCATATATTATAATTATTTCAAGTTCTGATTTGAAGAAATTAAAAGTGAAACATTTTAGTTTAGGAGAGAGGGCTGTCATCCTGTTCATTTACAGAAACGGAACAAATGTACGTTCTTGTCAACTGTAGAAATGAAATATGATGTTCACAGGATTTAAAAATATAAGCCCTAAAAAGGTTAAACACACATCCTTAAATTTGCTTGTTTTGCAAATCTTCACCCTTGGAGAATGACCTGGAGTGTTGGAAGCATATTACAGGCTGATTATTTACCTGATCTGAGCTACATAAACAATCCCTCCATGGCTAACAAATCTCAAAGTGGGATTTAAACCTAGGGCCTTCCGGATCAAAAACAGGTGTGGTGCCAACTAAGCCACTCAGCCTCCCTACACCATTGAACGAGAAACCTACATATGCAATAAGTAAGCCAAGAAAACTTTCAAAGCTGCTATTTCAAGTAAATTCAGGAAGTTGACAAATTTTAAAAATCTGAAATCTGACCCAACCAATCACTTCAGTTTTTAATAGAGGTAAAATAGTGTACTCGAGATTGGAGTTGGAGAAATGTGGAGAGCCGTGGTTAGCACTGCTGCCTCACAGCGCCACGGATCCGGGTTCGATTCCAGCGTTCGGCGACTGTCTGTGTGGAGTTGCACATTCTCCCTGTGTCTGTGTGGGTTTCCTCCGGGCACTCCGGTTTCCTCCCACAGTCCAAAGATGTGCAGGTTAGGTGGCTTGGCCATGCTAAATTGCCCATTGTGTTCAGGGAGGTGTAGATTAGGGGGGTTATAGGGGGATGGGTCTGGGTGGGATGCTCTGAGGTTCGGTGTGGACTTGTTGGGCCGAAGGGCCTGTTTCCACACTGCAGGGATTCTATTCTATGAGATTCCATTCTATGAAACTAACCTGCTCCCAGGAGGTGGTTTGTCCATTTAAACATTATCATGAGTTTACATTCCTGACATTTAATCTGACTTCCAGATTTAACCATGGCTGCCCAGGTTTTATAGGTCTCTGGAAACCTAGCGGCTAAAAGAAAGACTGTTGTGTTGAAAAAGTGTCTTTCCAGCACTGCTTATGGGCCAAGAGATCCAGTACTGCTCACTGGTAAGTCCACCAAACTTACCTTTCCTGCCTGCCCATCATCTCCCTTCTTCCCCTGCCACCTGGAGGATCAGCAACCAGCTCAGTTTTTACCTGCTGAGGAGTCAGAATCTGAACTAACCCCTGCCATCCTGGTATTAGACACCAATAAGTGATTTGTGTTTTCTCATCCATGCAGTTAGCCAAGCAATAAGTATGCTGTTTTTCTGGAGTTTCTGAGTCTGCAGATGACAACAAATTGGGAGAGGCAGCAGTTGTGTAAATGGGTGCAGGAAAGTAAATTATGTGAATGGGCAAAACTGTGGCAAAGAATCTCAGTTTGGGAACAGTGTTGTCATCCACTTTGGATCCAAGAAGGAAAAATCAGTGTATTTTCTAACTTGGTGAGAAACTAGAAACTATCTATCAGTGAACAACTCCAATCTTCTCTCATATTTTATAACTCATACACGAATCAAAATGGAAAAAGCAATTTAAAATATTTTTTGGGGTTTCTCACCACATTGTCCAGGAG